TCTCGTCACTTTTTTTATAGACGTGCCGCGCTGCCAATTTGAACATGTTCTAGAATTACGTTTTTTTTTAGACGGAGGGAGTAAGCAGTAACACCAGGCACGTGCACACCGTAAGGTCGGTTGATCAGCAAGGCGGCAACCGCAACCGCAGCACGTACGTGTTGCCGTCTCGCAACAGCCACTTATATATCGATCGATCTCTCGAACTGGAACACCTCGCCGGCGGCGGCAGCGTTCTCCGCCACCCACCTTGCGAGCCCAGGGGATCGAAACGATCCGTCGTGAGCTAGGTCGTGTCACATCGCGGCGTAAGTGAGCGTAACCTGAACGTTTTGCCGCTGGGGCTGGTGTCCGCTTCGCCTGGACGGCGTGAAAAACCTGGCCGCGTCCCGACGCGCGCGCGCGGAACGGACAAAACCACCGGCAGCCTGCCTGACAACAGCCTGACTGCCTCTGGCTGCCAGGCTCCCACGTGCAGCGATGCAGCCGTCCCACCGCACACCGCGCACGCATCCGTCCAGCCCGTTCGACGCCACCCACGATACGCACCCCGCCCCCGGCCGAAAAGTGGGGAAAACGCGTGGGGGATCCGATGGCGCGGCGGCCCTGTGCCTCTGCCTTACTACCACTACTTCGCCGTCGGCGCGCGACGCGGTTAGTGTCGGGGTGGCCGGGTGGCGCTGGCTATAGTGGGCTGTGGCAGGGGCAGGGCCACGGTGCCGAGCGGGGGCGGCAAACAAAACAAACGGGGAAAACGGAAGCCCCACGCGGCCCGAGCCAACACGTGGTGCGCCTGGACGCCTCAAAGCCGGTCGGAAGCGGATCCCGCCGCGCGGTCGGCCACGTATTGGGCGATGGCAGCGACGGGGGAACCGACGCCCCGCCCCTCCCCGCGCTCGGACGCAGACACACGTACGCTAGCATGGATTCGGCTTCGAGTTGACTCGGCGGTGTCGCTGAGTACACGAGTTGCCCTGTCCCGCACCGCACCGGGCGACGGCGGGCGGGTCCTCCGTTGGTTCGTCGTGCGTGCGTGCGCTCGGTGGTTGCGCGCAGCGGCGCTGGGTGCACGTGGCGTCCGAGGCCTGGCCTGGGCCTGGCCCGTCCTAGGAGCAGAGAGGGTTGAATCCGGCGAGGCTCTGTTCATCATTGGTCCAGGATGTTTGTCTGCCTGGTGGGGTGGACGTGGACACCAGAGTGGATAGGTTGTTGAAGCAATCGCCCGGCGTACGTGTGTGCTCTCAGGTCGTCGCCGTCAGCTGATCGCCTAGCGGGTTTGGTCGGCGGGTCCGTTCAACACGGGATTCAAGAGGGCTTTTCCCCCCTAATAATAATACTCGTTTGGTTGGTGACAAGAGGCCCATCGTCGTACTAGACTCATTTGACACTGATGCTTGTACATCAAGTTTGATCTTGTCGTCCTATTTACTTCTAGATAGAGGCTAGGTCGGGCGGGCTTCTAGCAGCTGTGCAAAATATTTCATCAAACAGTGATGGTGGGACTGAAGTTTGACAGAGAACGTAACGATCGTGCTATCATGGCTACGACGAACCATTTCATTTCCGCTGTTCCCTTCTAGATCATCCTAGATCTTTCGACTCATGAACTATTTTCAAATCAAGCGCGCCTGTAACTTATGTACACGCTGTGAAGAATTCCACGCATGCGCCACTCATTAGACCAACAAAATTTGTGAAAAAAGCCTAACGAGATAACGATGTGCCATGTACGTAACTTTCATTTTTACCTGATACTTCAACGCGAATGCAACCCCCTACCTGCCAGTCATTCATCGGAATACTAAATCCCCATCGTGCATCCAAAATCCAAAAACTCATACGACCGTCGTTCACCCTTCTTCTTTGGAAGGAAAGACACGTGCATGGAAGAAGATCCCAGAACTGGAGGCAGAGAACAAGGTAGAGTAACAAATACGTCGTCCAGCCACCTGGCGCGTCCCAGCTTCGAGTAACAAACCATTTCAAACCAAGCTGAGTTGTGCAGTACAGCGCGAAGAGACCGTATCGTGCTGCAGACCGGGACGTTTCTTTCCTCACCCGAGCACGAAAAACATCCGTGGCTCCTGTTCCTTTTCCGGACATTTTCGTCGAGGAAGTTTCATGACAGGAAATCCTTGACCCCCCTGGCCCCTGCACCTGCACCAGAAGGCGTTCGCGCGGGTTAGACCTCGTTTAGTTGAGGCTAGAATCGGCGCCGCCGTAGCGCCTGTAGCTACAGTAGCTACTGTAGCATTTCGTTTGTATTTGGTAATAATTGTTTAAACGTTGATTAATTAGGCTCAAAACGTTCGTCTCGTAAAGTATAATCAAACTGTGTAATTAGTTTTTTATTTCGTCAACATTTAGTACTCCATGCATGTACCGCAAGTTTGATGTGATGGGAAATCTTTTTTATATAGTGCTAAATTTTGGATTTGGGGTGAACTAAACAGGCCTTAGAATACAATACTCGAGTCCCAGATCCTCCTCCTGCAACTGCAAACGTGTCAGGCTCCGGCCACTCCTAATTAATCCTGCGAACATGTGTTGAAAATACGAGTACTCCGTAGGCGTGTTCGACTCTCAGACAGACAGGACAGGTGCGACACCAGACCAGAGCGTACTCTAGGCTTCTCGCAGGCTCAACTGTCAAGTGCTGGACTGTTGGCAGCTCATCATTCTGCTGTCTCTGCATCCTCCCCCAATTCTCGCGTGTAGTACTAGGGGGTGTTTAGGCCCGTTTAGATGTGAATTTTTTTTGGTTTTTTGGCTATGGTAGCACTTTCGTTTGTATTTGGTAAAAATTATCTAATTATAGATTATTTAGGCTTAAAAGATTCGTCTCGCCAATTACGGATAAACTGTGCAATTAGTTATTCTTTTTACCTATATTTAATGCTCTATGCATGTGCCGTGCAAGATTTGATGTGACGGGAAATCTTGAAAATTTTTGGATTTTGGGTGGATCTAAACAGGGCCTTTAGTTCTCCCCAATTCCAAACTTTGACACTATGCAAAAAGAAGATTCCTCGTCACATCAAACTTGCGGTACATGCATGGAGTACGAAATGTTGACGAAATCAAAAACTAATTGCATAATTTGGTTGTACTTTGTGAGACGAACGTTTTGAGCCCAATTAATCAACGATGGGACAATTATTATCAATTAAAACAAACTCCACTGTAGCTACAGTGTAGCTACAGTGTAGCTACAGTGTTTTTATCGGCGCCCAATCGGCGCAACTAAACGAGGCCTAGGGTGGTTCAGATACTGGCATATTGCAATGTCTCATCAAATGCATCTAGCATGTGGCATGGCAAGGGAATAGGATGGGATATTGGCATATTTTCCCGTGTAGTACTAGGGTGGTTCAGATACTGACATATTAGCATGTCTCATCATTCTGTAGTACTAGGGTGGTTCAGATACTGGCATATTTTCCCGTGTCTTTTGCTCGGACAGGGACAGAAAGACGCCAAAGTTAGAAAAGACACACCGTTTTGCAAACACACACAGGGGCATGTACAATACAATACAGCACGTGACTACGTCAGAGTTGGCATAGACTTTCCGGTAGCAGTTCCTTGTTCGACGAGCACACGGAGAGCGAGCCAAAGATACGCAGGCATCTGCATCTCATTCCAAGGCCAGGCAAGTGGGTACTAGCCTCTAATCTAGCTCATGTTCTTTAGCGTTTGGTTTGGACCAGTACTCCATCATACCGGCGATGAGGAACAATGAATCAATGATTGAGGTTACTTACTTGCAAAACTGTTGTGACGTTAACACTTGGCCATCACCCGATGCCACGACCCGGCTAAACAACGGCGGCGACGCCCAATTTGGTTTCACGCCCAGCTGGTGTGGTGGCTAGGCCATATCGCTTCCGTAGTATTTTACTGCACCTTGGCAAGCGAACGCTAGATCGGTTGGTCTGGCTGTGCCCTTTGCACTCTGCTGGCCAGAGTTCGACCCCTCCTCGGGGGCGGATTTGTTGATCAGAGGAGGCGTAGTTTATCTGCGTGTTAAAAAAAATCCCCTCATCTGTCCCACGTAAAAGCACAGATCTAAGGCTGAAGCTGCGGTGCCGTTGTGTATGGGTAAAGTAGAGGTTCGGGGGTTTTTTCGACCTGCGTGAGAAGGTCTTCTTCTTAAGCACAATCACTGTTCGGCTGATAAAACGGTTGATGTTGATTCGTTGTGAGAGAAAAATATTGTTCCATGGTTGATAAACAGTTCAAACGTCCGGGGGCTGTCTTACCCCACGGATCGAGTATTTTACTTCACCTTCCACACAAGTTGCAAAGCATCACCTGCGAACCTTTTTTTAACTGGACGTTACAAAGCCGCAAACTGCTTGCCCCAGACGACCACACAAATCCACGGCTGTCATCGAACAAAACCGCTGTATAACAACTACTACACTAACTAACTACCGCCAGCCGCCAGCCGCCAGCGGCAGTAACCGGATCCTTTGGACTATGGACTCGCTAACGCTAAACTATTCGTAGGTGTGACGCTGCACACTAGGCAAAGTCACTCACCTCACCGGTTGCTGTTTTCCGTTTCAGCCTTGGGAGGCTGGTCTGGTGGGAGTGGACGACGAGCGGTGATGTCCCCACCCAGCTACCACCATGCTGCGTTGTCCCCTGTTTGCGGCCGGCCGTCACATCACCCGCGGTTTTGGTTCCGCCGCGCTGTTCTGTTTGTTGCTGCGTTTCAAGTCGTGGCCAGAAGGGCGGGGCGGGGAGGAGTTCAGGGCCATCCGTGCGGCTGCGCACCGGGTTGGGTGGGCAATGATGCCATCGATGCCATCGCCGCGCGCGCGCGCGCGCTTATAAAAGGCCAGCTGCCCACCTGCGCTTCTCCCCAATTAAGCCACTCCCCTCTCTCCCACTTTCCCAGACCCTCCCTCCGGCCTCTTCTTCCACTCCCCTGAGCTCCTCTGCACACGCGGCTCGACCCGAACACTCGCACGCACGCACTTCGACCGACCGACATGGCCGCAGGCGCCCAGTCTTGGAGGACGTACCTGTGCTGCGGCGCGGGCGGCAGCGCGGCGGTGGACGACAACGACGGCTCGACGCCGCGGCGGCGGCGGAGGATCACGCGGCGGAGGGGCGGCAAGGTCAGCCCTCGGTCGTCGTCGTCGTCGTCGCGGATGTCGTTCACGAGCCTCAGCTCCTCGGAGATGCTCTCGCCAGAGGACCTGTCCCTCACGCTGTCCGGGTCCGGGTCCAACCTGCACGCCTTCACGTACGCCGAGCTCCGGTCGGCCACGGCGGGCTTCTCCCGCGCCAACTACCTCGGCTGCGGCGGGTTCGGCCCCGTGTACAGGGGCGCCGTCGACGAGGCGCTCCGCCCGGGCCTCCGCGCGCAGGACGTCGCCATCAAGTACCTCGACCTGGAAGGCGGCACGCAGGGGCACAAGGAGTGGCTGGTGAGTACCGTGAGCGCCGTGCACTTAGCAGAGTGTTGGTTCTTGGCAAATGCATGCATGCGGCAGCTCGATCCATCGGATCAAACAAACGCTTCGATCGACTGATGCATGCTCCTGATGTGATGTGAGACTGAACAGGACGCTGATCGAATTTGGGTGTTGTTGTTCTCGCAGGCTGAGGTGTTCTTCCTTGGGCAACTGAGGCACAAGAACCTGGTGAAGCTCATCGGCTACTGCTACGAGGCCGAGCACCGGATGCTGGTGTACGAGTTCATGAGCTTCGGGAGCCTCGAGAACCACCTCTTCAAAAGTGAGCTCCTTTTTTCTGCTTCACGCTGCTAATTCGGTCGCCTCGGGTGCCAATTCGGTCGTTTTTTTGAGCCCAACAAGCAAAGAAAATCTGCCAATTTGAAAACCTGTCCCCTGCAGCCTCCAGTTTCTGTCCCATTTGATGAAAGTCGTAGGACTAGGTGAGCTGTAATGTGCCTTCTGGAGGAGCAAAATGTTTTTTTTTTATATATATAAGATTAGATGCTGCCTGTATATGCTGCCGGGTCTCATGCTTACAACACTTGGTCAATGCCGGGGAGGAAACTGAAAACTCACATGGAACGTCTTTCTCGCTGCAGGTGTCAACGGCGCCCTCCCATGGATGACGAGGATGAAGATCGCCGTCGGCGCGGCCAAGGGCCTCGCCTTCCTCCACGACGCCGACCCGCCGGTGATCTACCGCGACTTCAAGGCCTCCAACATCCTGCTCGACTCGGTAAGCAAGCTCCCGTGTTCGTTCGGCTGGCTGACTGATTGCCGGCTGGCCAGCCACTTCACAAAATTACTATTCATGTCCTACCAGAACCAAGGCAAGCACTTTCCGTCCCAGCACTAGGCACTCGCACACCAAGGACACGCAGTTCCGAAATGCAAGCTCACTTGCAAACGGTAACTACCAACAAAAGAGGATATGTTGACACACGTCACTCTGGTGACCGTAAAACTACTTGTGGTGCTCAACAGAGGGGAAGATGACAAGCCTGGGACCCAGGTCCCATCATAGCATGAATAAATTTTACCCGCAGAAATGTTTTATTAAATATTAATTTTGAACCTTTTGACCATGCGAGTCACCCAAGTGACCATTCAGTAGTATCCTGCAGCGCCACACGTTTCTGAACTTGGGCACACCTTCCTGGCACGCTATGGGCAGCCTTGACCTGACTGGAACTTGGAAGGTTGTTGGACACACGCCAAACTTAAGAAATCCCCCGTTATCTATCCTACTACATTCACATCATCCACCAAACCAAATATCCTAAGCATCACTGTCAGCCTATCCCACACAGTACCCCACGGACGATTAAACGTGAACAGTTCTGATTAAACCAAATATCCAACATGCCTAATCTTTCAACCTAACTGTATCTTACAGGACTACAACACCAAGCTATCCGACTTTGGTCTGGCCAAGGACGGGCCGCAGGGCGACGAGACGCACGTGACGACGCGTGTCATGGGGACCCACGGGTACGCGGCGCCCGAGTACATCCTGACGGGCCACCTGACCGCCAAGAGCGACGTGTACAGCTTTGGCGTGGTGCTGCTGGAGCTGCTGGCGGGCCGGCAGTCGGTGGACCGCGCGCGGCGGCCACGGGAGCAGAACCTGGTGGACTGGGCCAGGCCGTACCTCAAGCACCCCGACAGGCTGTACAAGGTCATGGACCCGGCCCTGGAGTGCCAGTACTCGTGCAGGGGCGCCGAGGTGGCCGCCATCGTGGCCTACAAGTGCCTCAGCCAGAACCCCAAGTCTAGGCCCACGATGCGGGAGGTGGTCAGGGCCCTGGAGCCCGTGCTCGGCATGGACGACTTCTTCCCCGCCGGCCCGTTCGTGTTCACCATCAGCGTGGAGGAGGATAAGGTGGCGGGCCTCAAGGTGGAGGTGGAGGAGAAGCCGCCGCAGCACCACCAGAGCCACCAGGACAGGCACCGCCAGAAGTACCCCAACTCGTCGATCCACGCCGGCATTGTGCTGCACAGCCGGGAAGGGATGGTCGGCGGCGATTACACCGCCACGCTCCGGCGGCAGCGGAGGGCGTCCAGCTACCACAAGGAGAGGGGGGCTTAAGAGCAGGAACGGGAAGTGACCAGTACATATATACGTAGGATTAAAAAAAAAAGGGTGTGTGCGTGTACATAACTACATACTAGAGAGATGTGACACAATGTCACTTTGGCTTGGTTTAGTCTTGAGATTGTGATTCTTGTTTCTTTTCTTCTACATAGTGATAGCGTCGTTACTAGGTGTTAGGTGATACAGGTATGCAAAAATAGTGTGATGAAAAGGCCGGCTCGGACTTGCAAGGTCTGTTGCACTTGCACAAAAGATGTTGTGTAAAAGGGAATGGTTTGGCAAAATGGTCATCTAAAATCTAAAATGTTGCTTGCATTCTGCATGTTTTGTTTTTCGATTAGATATTTGGAAACCAACTAAGGATTTATAGCCTTATGGGTGAAATGACAGAATGGAACAAGGAACATGATGTAAACTGAAACTGGCACTAGATTAAAGATAACGTCAGTTAACAATAGCAACCTGGATTCCTCAAAAAACAATAGCAAACATACTCACCTGGCAAGAGGAAAAATGCCGAAAAAGGGTCAGCCCGTCAGGGTTATACATCTGAAACACTGATGATAGCAAGCATCGACTGCAAACCTGTCGAGACATAGTTTCAGAGACTATGCGAACAAACAAGAGATAACTCAAACGTCAACGATTGTAGCGAGTAGTGACATCATGCCCCAGTAGTCTTCTGTCATAAATTAGTCTTCTAAGTTCTAATTGACCCAATTTATTTCGGATAATTCGGTACTAAGCACTGGTTAGCTGAATTGACCCAACTAACCAAATTATTTGCTTGTGAATTGTTATTTGCATGTCTATTAGGTATTGTGTTTAAAGTTTCAACAATTCAATGTTTCTGTTAAGTTGCAATAATATACAGTATATCGGTGTATATATTATTTGTGTTTGTAGTGTGATATTTTACTGTAAAACATGGTTTAAAATGAAAAATTTATGCCAAATTCGGTATCAAAACATGTCTCAAAACTATTCGCATTCGGTTAGCTTGGCAAGACCGAATCAAAATGACCGAAACTGAATTGCTTGGTCTTCAATATTTTGCAATGTATTTTGGTCTTTATTTTTGGTTGACCAAAATCTTGAAAACCCGAAAACTGAACTGAATTCTTCGGTCAGACACCCACCCCTACAATCCCAATATGAATGCAACCTACTACCTACATACAGAGCGCCTCCATATCCAGTTACGCTGCTACCAGAAATTCAGGGTGTCCAGCAGTATGTTTTTTTTATAGAACATGCATCCATTAAGGAGAAGGTAAGAGAAAATAAGTATTGGAAAGAAAATATTCAGAAAACTGTGAGGTAGATGTTTCAGGTTTACTGTCCAGGTGTGAGGTGTGCGCAGGCTACCTCTTCAACTCAAGTTCTGCCAGTAAAATATTCTGCAGGTATTTCTATTTTGATCGGCTACCTTGGCCAAAAAAAATAACTTTGTGAATAAAAAAGGCTTTCTGCCTATCAAACAGTAGATGTTCCATAAATAAATTATGTTTCACATTGCTAATCATGTAGCACTAACTATAAACAAAATAGTAACCAGAGCATATTTTTTTCCTACTCTTTTTTCGAAGCATTTTTTTCCTACCCAGGCCTGCAATTTTCGAATTTGCAACATCTTTATCTTAAAGATGTTGTATAGAAGCAAATGGTCTGGTTAAAGGCTACCCAATGCTTCTTGTAATTTTGTTCATTTTAGTTTTTGGTTCACTATTGTCAAACTAGAAAATTTTATGGGCTGAAGGATGGATTGAACTGACACATCAAAAGATGTTGATAGTATCATATAATACCTAGGCCTGTTCGCTTAAACTTATTAGCCGGCTTATCAGCTAGAATCTACGGTATTTTTCTCTCACAACAAAACAGCTTCAGCCGGCTTATCAGCCGGCTTTAATACCAGCCTGGATTGAACACATGTTGCATCAGTAAATAGGAATGCTGGGTCAAACGGGCAATCATAACTCACCTGACAAAACAAAAACCTGTTGACATAAGCCAACTGGAATTGCAATGTCCAGAATAGATATCAACCCAATAGCAACAACATAATACGCCCCAATATGAGTGCAAGCTCTTCCATTGCACTGCTCTGCTAACGAAGTTTTCTGCAGGCCTTTCTATTTTGTTCAAACATATTTGCAAAGGATGCAGTTCAGAAACTTGTGAAATGAAAAGAGCTTTCCCAATGACAATAGAAGAGCTTCCACAAGTGAACTAGATGTCTCGCATCTCAATATCAATAAAATGCTCATGTTGTCATGCAACAGACATCAATCAAAAACGTTACCTAAACTCCTAATTCTATTCTAACCAGGATGCTTTAGGAGAAAACTGGGGGAAAAGGTATACAACTTCAGGAACAGTCCCTGATATATGATCAAAATATAAATACTAAAAAGACAAAATTCCACAGGAAACTTCATTTTATCCAGAATAAAACGTGCTCGAAAGTCCAGAGACTTACAGAATGAAGTTAAACAAAGAAAATCTGAACCATTATCATGATCAAATGGCCTCATTTGATCAACATTTCAGCGAAAAACATAGATATACAAGCCAATAGAAATTTGAAAAGTAGGCTTCATACCACCAGGACGACTCTACAGATTGAAACAGAGGAGTTATGATCACAACAGCCCTATGGATTTGCTGAAAGAGACACAGATGAATCCAGACAGAAGAGGGGCCACTAAGGAAAGACGGAAATATTCAAAGTTTATGCAAAATACAAGACGAATGCAATGATGCCTTTAGAATTCCAGTTATATGAGTGCCAAATGTATCAAGTTACTCTAAAAGGGGAAAAAAACTTGATAGCTACAGTGGATGTTAGGTGTTAGGTGAAGAGCCAGTAAAGGTATGCAAAAATATTGTGATGAAACTTCTTCTCTATTAATATATGCCAGGCAGAACTCCTGCCGGTCGTTTAAAAAAAAAATTGTGATGAAAAGTCCAGCTAGGAATTGCAAGGTTTGTTGCACAGAGATGCTCTGTGTAAAAGGAAATGGTTTGATAAAGTGATCGACCAAAATGCTTCTTGCATTTTGCACGTTTTGTTTTTATTTGGTAACCTACTAAGGATTCATAGGTGAAATGACAAAAAAGAACAAGGAAAATGATGTAAAGTGAAACTGACACTAGACTAAGGATATGTTGATGACTCAGTTAACAATAGCAAGCTGGACTGATGACACACGTTCCATAAGTAAGCAAGGGGGCAAACACAACTCACCTGGCAAAACGAAGATTGCTGAAAAGGGGTCAGGGTTACATCAGCAGCAGTGACGATAGCAAGCATCTACTGCAAACCTGGCAAGAGAAGTTTCACAGGCTACGTGAACAAACAAGAGATAACTGAAATCTCATTATCTGATATCACATGGCCCAGTAAGAATGCAGCCTACATACAAAATGCCTCCATGTCCAGTTCCACCACTGCAAATTTAGGACCTCCAGCTGTGTGCAAGGTACCTCTTTTTTTTTCCCCTGATGAGAAGATAGGGAAAAAAACAAGTTCTGACAAGAAAATATTGAGAGAACTTGTGCGTCTAGCAGCCATTGCTTGGCCGTGTGGTGATGCGCAGAGCAAAGCAAGGCAAGTGCTCATGAAGCGGTTGGGCGTCACACAGGAAGAAAGCAAAACTCTAGAGATGACCTTGCAGCGCTACCTCAGCCTCTTCAAAGGTCCGATGTCCGACCTTATCATCAGGGCGCTAGTGACACTTAGTGGCCTCGATGGACTAGCCATGTCGAGGCAAATCGTGACATAATGCTTCCTTGCACCGTCTGCGCTGCTCGAGGATTCGTTCACGCCAGGCCATGCCAAGCTGTTATAGAGGGGAGTAAATGATGGGGCAAGGTGAGACTCGGTACATGATCGTGTCGGAGATACTAGAAGCACCATTATCTGCTTGCAGGAAACCAAGGCTTCATGGGAGGATGTCAGGGCGTTTGGCTGTTGTTCACCATGGGAAGCCGGAGCTGCTTTTTGCTGCTTGTGATCAGCTCGGCAATGAGGACACGTGGTGGGCGTCGTTTGGTTTGTTGTGTTACCTCTGTGTGTTAGTGTTCAGGACTATCGAGTTCTAGTGTTGTGGGTATTTTCCGTGTTTTAATCTGTGCCTCTGTAAGGTTTTCAGGACTATTTTCCATTATAAACTAGGCCAATTCTATTCTTCTTAATTGAAAGGCAGAGCTCCTGCCATTACTTTTTTTTTAAAAGATTTTTTTTAAAGGACAACAAAAGTTTTGTTGTTGTTTTTATTAAAAGAGAACTTGTGAGTTAGATGTTTCAGGTTTATTGTTCAGGACTTCAGGTGTGCGCCCTGTTCAACTGTAAAATTCTGCCAATAAAGTATTCTGCAGGTTTTCAATTTTGAACAGTCATCTTGGCGAAAACAATAACTTAAAAAAAAGAATAATAAAGGCTTCTGCCAATCAAAATAGTAGAGGTCCCCTAAATAAATTAGATGTCTCATATTGCTTATTTTGTAACACTAGCAAGTATATTCAAAATAGTAACAGTGTGTACTGCACGACATCGGTAGCAGATGGGCAACCTCCATATTCAGCCGCAGCCACCCCTGTCTAGCATGCTTTCATTTGAGGAGATGGTCATCGAGTTACTTCATACTCGATCGAAAGGCTATCTCTAAAGATCACTTGACATACAAATGCTACGATCCTTTAAGAACTTTGGAGTTTGGACTCCCAACAACGGCAGGGTGACAACTACAGTCTATCCACGGCTTAAAAACCAAAGAACCTCTCCTCGCACCAGTTCTTACCAGGCTACCATGCGCGAACAGAGGGAATGCAGCGAAACAAAAAGAACATGGCCAAGTCAAGGTAGCAAGTGAAAATCCAGATCGTCCAACAAGAAAACACAGCTTAGTATCACAGCTATATGACTGCAGACTGAACCACACCTGCAGAAAGCTGTGGCTTGTGCAGCAAACACCATCTGACTAGAATTTGTAGGTTCAAATAGATAGATAGATATATTTTTGTTTTCACAACCAAATAATGCACGCTGCAGCTAGAAAACTCGCAAAAGGAACAACACAATGGTATCCAGAAATTTAAACACAGTGCTAAACACCAGTAATCTCTGGAGATCACGGAAGCCAAACAACATCGCGATGTTTCTCCCAGCATGTTCATTTTGCGAGGGTGATGGCTGTTCTTTCCGGTCACATTCTCGCTTCCTTATTCAGAAGTCGATACCCAACAAGGATGCAGAATCAGGGGTTGTGTGGAGACTTGCTGCTCTCCTAGTCTTCCCTTGCCTTCTGCTGAAGCTGAGACAGCATGTTGGATGCCGCTGAGTCTCGTGCCTCATGAGGGGTGACCTTCATATCACCATCTGCACTCAAGTTGAAATCTGGGCCCGTAAGGTGGACACTGGCCTGGTACATATCTGCCAATATAGGAGTACAAATTGTAAAAGATCGAACATGTAGGAACTAAAAGCTATGAGAAAGATTGCCCGAGGCCGACCTGGAGCAAAAAGAGATTCCGATTATATTTACCAGAGGACATTTGACTAATTCAAATTGTGATTAGGATGTATAAGTTCTAAGATCATGCATATAGTATGGTATAAGAACAACTTGTGTAAGCACCTATCAGAGTCCGACTTTAAAGGTAGCTTTATACATATGTGTCAGCTTTACAGTGCAAGAAGAGCAGACTGTGAAGCCTAAATCTGACTGCATTATTCTGATGCTTATATGGTCCAAGGACTCCATTCTACGGCATGCAGGAACTTGAAAAATCAGTGATTATCAACCACATACCACTGGTAACTGAAGGAAGTACTCTGTATCTTGGAAAAATCCAGTTGCTCTCACGGCATATGTCATCCAGTTCCTGCAGTAACTACTGTCAGACGTAGGATTGTAGAGGCAGTCATGATAATAATTTACATCAGATGATGTTTCTTGCCTGGCATTTGTTGCGTAGAAGTATGGCTTCTTTCAGTTTCTTCCTCTTTATGTTCATGGTTTGGCATCCTTCTCCACAGCTAATTGGATTGGCAACTTCCATCATCTTCCCACTATTCTCATATTTCTTTAGGATTGACGTTACTTTAGGTGTCATCTCCGTTTCTGCACATGGTTTGAAAATGATACGCACCGATTTGATATAACTTGAAGGTAAAAGATTGAGGTTGATTAGCAACAATCACACAGTTGAAAAGATATGTTGATATATAGGTCAACAATTATTCTACGGGAATTGAAGTTATCTTGCTAGGTTGTCCTTGGGAGGCTAAATAATGTTCATGCACTTGTATTATGCAGCCTTGTTTGGATGGGATGGTGACGCCCAACTCCATCATTCAGGACCAAGGTTCACATATGCAAATCGAAGCCTAAGAGTACAAGGCCCTCGTGCAATGTTTAGTAACGTTGTGGAATGGAAAGACAAGTTGTTTGCCACAAGATCATTGGTTTCACACTGTTATTGTCCATTTTATCTAGATTTAGTTGTGAAAAGGTAAAATACCTGTCAAGATTGTTTGAATGTCCATTTCATACTCAGCACTTCGATCTCCAAGCACAAAATGCTCACAGAGCTGAAACATAGATAGACTAAGATGAGTACAATTAGGTTATCAAGGAAAAGAAGAATTGTGATCAACAATCATCACTGTAACTTCAGAAATGAATTGCAATATGTAACATACTGTATCATCTCGCATCTTCTGGAGTAATTGCAGTGTCGCATACTTCTGAACATTCATGTTACCTGTGATGCCACCTGAAATGCAATTTGAAGTATACATATTAAGATTTGGGAGCATCAATATGGAAGTAATCAATAATAGGAAAAATAATTTCTTTTTTCTTGGATAGGATTGTCCTTACCAGACTTTTCAGTGACTTTCTCCTTTTGGCTTTTCAAGGCATGGTCGTTAATTACAGGATCAACATCTGGTGTCTGAAAGATAATTAATTCTGTAAGTTGAAGTTTAACACATAAACATGCATATATTAATTATTATTGAACTAGAAACATCACGCCTGATTTCAATGCATCTTTTTGTCAAGCTCATACAGAGTTTTTTACCGGAATGATATCTTGGGGCACATTTCTACTTTTAGAGTTCTTCTCTGTTCTGTTGTTGTCCATTTGGACACCTGAAATTAAGTGACTTTATCATAATGATGAGGAGAAATAACAATGGATTGCAAAATCGAAGTAGTGAAGTACTATAAGATTGATAGACTCACTGGCTTGTAAGTCTTTTGTGGGGCTCTGACCATCCCCGTGCTCTGTGTAGGTAGCAACTTTAGTCTTGAAGGCTTCAGATTTTCTTTTGCAGTTCGTGTTGTTGTCTTTTCTGTTTTTGCTGGTGCTGCAGTTGCTGGTGCCACTATCACCAACAGCTTTTACTACCTGCTTCTTTTTCTTTGGAGTCACGTCTGTGGTTATTTTTTTCCTTTTAGAATTGATATTACTATTAGCTTCTTGTTCCTTCAAACTTCCATCTATTTCAGAGAGAGATGAAGATTTCCCATTTTCAAATACCCGCTCCTTTGGCGCGCTCAGTGAAGAACCCAAAGGCCAGTCCCTACAACATGTCCAGAGTAATCTTTAGTCATTAGCCTAAAAGAGTTGTAAGAAGACACATTTTGATATCAATGGTTTCATGCATAATCATCAGCTGAAATAAATCTTTATATATACCTGTTCAGGACGTTTAACAAGACCTTCTTATATGGCAGTAAATGATAGCATTCAACAACAGATGTCGTTGTTGGGTACGGACCACTTTCAAATATAGGACCACTCATCCTGTTTCAGGAAAGGAAGAAATTCAATAGGGGACAACTTTTATAAATTACTACGATTGAAAAATTGTGTATTAACACTAAGCAAAGCAACCCATTTAGGAGGGACAATCAGCAAGCATGATATCATATACACATGAAACAGAGTATCTTGAAAAGGGTGGAAAGTGCTGTAGCAAAGTAATCATTGCTGACATTTGTTATGGTGGCTGTTATGGTTGCGAGGGAGAGAGGGGGCTGGCCAGGGGCCTTGCCCACTGCCAAGCAAGGGAGAAGTTTTTTTTTCTTCTAATTCTCGCTTGATTAGATAGATACATCTTCTCTCCTTATATAGAGAGGCTTACCTGACCCCCTAAGCAAGTGATCCTTATCGATAGGCCCATGGCATAGCCCAATCACCCCTTACTTCTCTCCCAATCACTCTTGCTAAGCTTCTATATTAACACATGCTAATGGTGCACCCAGGCTTCCTCTCAATTGGCCGCCAATCTAGCCACTTTCCTGATTTGCTGCCTCTAACAACATTAATCTAAGATATGGTCTGCAACGTGCAATGGTACAAAGTAGGCACAGTGGAAAAGCAAACCTTTCGATCAGGGCATCTAAAGGCATTTCCTTAAGCTTGCTATCGACAGTTTGATCATAGTGCAAAAGGAACAATATGGTAGCTGTCCCTTTCTTACTTAGTGAGTACACCCGATGGTCTTCGATAAAACGCAAATTTGTATGCTTCATACCTATTAAAACAAAAGTGTGTGAGACATACCTATTAAGACATACAAAAGATAGGTACAAAAGCATAGAATTTGCAAAATCAATAAAATCAAGCACACAATTCCACTTCCGAAGCAACTTGTGTATTGAGCACACAATCAGGTGTAATTTCGAAAGGATCTGTCTATACAACACTCGGGTGTTTTACCGGCCCTGAGCACTCAGATATTTTTCTTCACATTTTCTTCCTCCTCCTAACGCGCCGTTGCCGCCCACAGTCCACCGCCCCGCCACGGCGCGGTAGGGTCTCACCGAAGCTCTGCGGCCACGGCCATGGAGCTCCGCACGAGACCCTACCTCGTCCGCGGTGACCTCCATCTTCCCCTCCCCCCACCGTCACGGCCTTGGTCACCCTCGCCCGACCTGGCCCGACCGCCTCCTTCACCGCTCGCTCCGATAACATCACCGCCACCTTCGCCTCGCTGCCGTCCCCACTGCCTATCCTGCCTGCCTCCCCAAAAATTCTTCTAAGCCCGCCGGAGATGGAGACGAAGAGAGGGAGAGGAAGAGAAGAGGGAAAAATCGAGTGTTCCAACACTCGAGTGTTGTATAGTATTTCTCTTTCGAAAAGAACATTGATTGCTATCAGCTCATGTACATAATCTAAGTTACTCTAGGACGCGATTGGTTGGCTTCCCGGCCAATCTAGGCTCACTCTAGGCATCCAGGCCCTCAGCAGCCATGTTGGAGGTGTGCAGGAGGGTTATGTTTGGTTGCTCGTGCGAAAACAATCTTTTTTTTTTCTAGAAATGCTATACAACACACATGTGTTTTAGCATAAAAAACACATGGTTTTTTTTATCTCTCTCCCTCTCTCTTTCTCACTGGTGACCACCGGCGCCGGCGCCCGCGCCGGCCATGGCAGTGGCGGCGGCGGCGGCGGCGGAGGCGGATCTGTGATTTGTCCTTCCATAGAAAAAAAAGTGATATGTGATCTGTGGAGGCTGGAGGCTGGAGGTAGAAGAAGGGTGAAGACTGTTGGATCTTAATCCTATGGTGCAAAAAAATATTCATATATTGAAACTGTATAAAACACATGGTTGTGTAGTAGACAGACTCACACAAGAAAAACCCATATAGAGTAACATAAATACATTCGCGGGAACAACCTGGCCCGGGAGAGTTCTTGTTTGGTTTGATCCACAAACAAATGCATGGCAAATGCAGCCAGCCTTTAAGGAAAAGCTCTCCCGCATGCTCACCCGAATTAAATGAGAGGAGCCAAACCACACCAGCTAGCCTAACTCAACAAAGTGACCATATTTGTGGCCCTGTGCTTGTGGGTGAACTACAATTCCACTACAAATTAAGGCATGGACCTGTAGCCACTAGACACAAGGCTGCATCCAATTGCTCTAGTTATTAAAAAAGAATAAGGGTGCATACATACAATGCACTATAAGTTCAAGAAGAAAAACCGTAGAAGTGTATAGCACCAACCTGTTTTGAGCTCCACCTCTGAATATGCAATCTGCTGAAGCACATATGGTTCAGAAGGAAGTGCCATGGATTTATTACTCGACCCCTGCACTGACATGTCACTGCTGAGCGAACCACCTAATGCCATCTTGATATCTTTCTCAAACAATGCCATCGTGACATCTTTCTCAAACATCGACCAGACGCCCTTGGTTTTGGATCCATGCTCGAGCAAGCACACTTTCTTTGTCCGATTGAGAAGCAGAACTGCGACCTTGGAGATCGGCCACATGATCATCTCGGGGGAGTCCTTCGTGGGGTCAAGTGCCTCGGCAATGTCGCAGGCGTCAATGATTGCCTTGTCAGTAACCGAGAGCCCGGCCCCCACTTCGTTGCCAAGGCGGTTCTGCCCCTGGTTCAGGTACATGAGCAGATTTTTGTTGCTGACGTTGAGGGAGGCGGACAGGCAGAACCGTTCGGGGGTGGCAAACTCGAGCTGCGGGAACTGCTTCCGGTGGTAGTAGTTGTACAGGAGCACCGCCGCGTGGACCTGCACAACAACAAAACCACATCCATGGCGGCGTAGTGAGGTAAGTTGCCGACGAGTTATTGGAAAAAACAAAAGCGAATCCCAAAAGTCCCAAGCACGAAACAAATAAGCCGCAATAAGCTCCATGATAGCACCGTGAGGAAAGCCGCAGATCGATCGGCAATTGCAAAAAAAGAAAAAAGAAAAGAAAAGAGAGAGAGAGAGAGAGACTGTGATCAACACTAAGCGGAACAATGTTATGGATCAGACGATCAGCCTGTAGAAGCCGCGAATTCCAAATGCCACAAGCACGTAGCACGCCGCGCGACCCAAATCCACCCCCAAATCCCAAAGCGAGTCGCATGGGGAGGAGGCGCAAGCCCCATGCTCCGTTCCTCAACCCCGATCGACCAAAACCCCACCGCAAGCGAGTCACAACTGACGAAAAGGAGCAATGGGTCAAGCACAAGCTTCCTCACCTGACGCGCCACGGCCTCCTGGGTCTCAGGCGACAGGGCCTCCTCCCGGTCGACCTGGCCGCGCGGCAGCACCGGCGCCACGAGGTGCTCCACCAGCAGCTCCACCGCGTCCTCCAGCTGCACCACCTCCTCGTTGCCACTGGCGCCGCCTTCCTCCTCCATCACCGGAACCCAAGCAGTGTCCCGCACCGCCTTTAACTAGGGTTTTGCGCCGCGGGGGTTGGGGTTTTCTGGGCGGCCGCCGTTCCAACGAGAGCTGGAACTGGGATGGCAAGAAATGGAAGGTGAGGCACGATCGTGCAGGGTGCTGCCGTGGGGCGGAAAAGGAAAACGGTGGGTCAGTGGGTGTGCGGAGAGCGCAGGGGGCCGAGATCCGCCGTCCAACACGGGACCCGGTGGATCTGGGCCGTCCCAGGCGACGTCACGAGGAGTTGGCCGCGGCGAAAGGCTGGCTGGCCTTGTGCTTGCGACTGAATTCTAGTGGGAACAGGCTTTTTGTCTGTGTTGCCGCCCTGTGCGCTCTATGCCACAGCTAGAGGACGACGACGCACCGACCTGTTCAAAGAGACAGAGAGGAACAGAACAGATTAGAGACAGATCGATCAAAATAGAATGATAGGTTTAGGAGGGTTAGAGTTTATACCTGTGCAGCCGGAACCCGGTGCCGGAGAAGATGAGGCCACCAGAGAAATCACAACGACACACAGATTAGCAAGGATGGCGAGCGGTGGGGGAGGGCGGAAGAGGACACAAACTTACATAGTCACCGAGAGCGAGAGGAGAGAGAGGGAGAAGGAGAAGGGAGAGGCAGGGGATCAGGGGACTCGGGTTGAGATGGGGGAGCGGCGGGGCCGGCGGGAGGCGGATCGAGGTCACCGGAGTTGGGGACGGACACCACCAGCCAAGTGACCGAGACGAGAGAGGAGACCACTTCAGATTAGAGAGCGGCGTAGCGGGTGGGAGGGGAGGGGTGGGAAATGATTTAGGGTTTTGAGGGGTGAGGGAGAGGGCGTCGCGGCTATGGTATATATATGAGGGGTGGTGGCGGGGGGCCATTAGACCGTGGGGTGTGGGGGTTTTGGCTGGGCCGCTACCGAGCCTACTATTGTAGGCTGGGCCGTGTCGGGCTGGCACGTTGTGCCTGGGTAAGGCCCAGGCGCGACTTGCTACTCCCGGTCGGGCCATGCTCGTCGGGCCAAAAATACGGGCTTTGTGCTGGGGGCGTGCGTGGGCTGCATGGCCATCTATAGGTTTCATAGATCATCATTGGACGAGCTCAGGTTGTCAGGTATGGAGGACGGACTGCAACGCCCTGGCTTTTGGGTTTAAAGCAGTTTGGCATGGAAATTAATTGCGACTTCTTTTGGGAAGCAATGTTTGTACTTTACTATACCTTGGCCCTGTTTGGTTCCGCGAGGATTCGAACGCGCGACCGCGATAACGCCAACGCGGCGCGGGAGCTACGTTCACGATTTCGGATCACGTAGGTCATTTCCCCGCGTTTTGCGGCGGTGGGCGGCTGTCGAACGGGTGACCGACGCGAGGCGTTTGGTGGGATTCGATCACTTCTCTCGATCGTAACGCGCGTATACGTGGAACCAAACATGCCCCTTATCTCGAGGGTCACAGGGGCTCTTGGATTTCAGCCAAGCGGCCTAGCTTCAAAGGTAACTTCGTCTCAAAATAAATACTCATCTCGTATTTCAAAAAATTAAATACTAGTCTCGAATTTAATCATATATAATATATAAATTATTAATATTAATAATACTAAACAAATGTCATTCGACTAATTATGTAATCTATCTATATTCTAATTTCTATATCTCTTATAAAGCAAAACCCACGAAAATCTATCTTGCACCATAATGTTCCACGTCATCACTTTGTTTCAGCCGTCTGATGTTAAACGACCACGTAGATCTTACCTTCTTCAGTTTAGGAGTGATTGGCTGACCCTCTTCAGCTTCCACCGCTCAATGCCATCCCCCTATCAAGGCAATAGAGCACACACAAGTATAATCACTGCATCGAGGAATTATCCTCGAGGCAATAGAGAACACACAAGTAGGCAACAGAAAACTGATTTCCACCAAGCCACCTCCTCTCTGTTTTAATAATCTGCAATTATCATTGGACAAATGCTTGACCATTCACCTCATGCCTCTTTAAACCACCCCTTATATAAGGTCAGTCTCAATACGGATTTCATAAAGTTTCATGGGCATTAAATATGCTGATATGGCACTGTCTTGATGAAGAGAGAGAAGATAAAAGTTTCATGGGAGTAGAGAGAGTTTCGACATGTAGATTTTGTCTCCTTGTACTGGGATGAAACTCTTCACCTGGACCACTCCACTGCTATTTTCAAAATATGGGTGTGTTGAAAATCGGGAGATGAAACAACCCCCGGTTCGAGAGCCGGCGGCCTAAGGCAGTCCCAATGGTGTATTGATGATGGTTTCTATCATCATTAAATGACTTGCCACGTAGGCAAAATGCTGACATGGCAACGTAGTTAATGAAGAAAGAGAGCAAAAATCATAGAAATGGTTTCCTCATGAAGAAACCAGGTCTTCTCATGCATCAAGAAACCATGAAATCGCCATTGGGGAGAAACCATCAGTTTCTAGGGGGTTCGTGCCGCACTCTCATTAGAGGAAAAAGATAGAGTTGGGAGAGAGAAAAAGAAAATAATTATTACTCATAGAAACCATGGGTTGGAAAGCACTACTTTTTTTATGCGGTATCCTATATTATAGAAACTACTAATTTCTTTCATTGGGACTGCCTTAATACTCCCTGCGTCCATTTATCGGACTCGTTTTAGCCTCTCGCTCAATGACCAAGGAGAAGCAAATGCATGCCGAATTGCAATAAATCGCCGCGCTGGGAGTAATGAGTTGGCGTCCGTTTCACTTCCCCATTAACTGCGCGCGCAATGACCACGCCCGAATTAAAAATGTCGTTAGTTGGCGTCCGTTTCACTTCCCCATGGCTGCGGGCTCACGTCGCGTGTCCTTAGCCACGCTTAAGAAGGCAGAAAGAAAGCAGCGCCAAGACAAGAAATTTTTTCCACGCTGCGATCACCTTCCAATTTCCGTCGCGCTCATGCAAGGAAATTTTTGTCGCGCTGTGATCACCTTCCAATTTCTGGCCGCCCATACCAAAATTCAGCCGCCAAAAATAAAAAATTAGGCACCAGTGCACCACTTCCTTCTATTGCCGCCCATACCAAAAGAAGCACCGGTGCATCAAACTTTCATTGCCCGCCATCTAGCCATTTTCATTTTCACGTTGCCATGGCCTATATAAGTTGCTTTGGAGGATCACTACGTCCAGGCAATTCCAGTAAGCCACCCCCCCCTCCTCACCCCTTTCTTTCTCTGTCTAGACATAAAAAACAATGCCCGGACTAGATTTTGATTTGAATTTAGAGGCACCCGAATCCGGTCAAATGAATCCCTAGATTGGGTTGACATTGTAGAGTTTGATGGCCCGGCTCATGAACTTGATTATGATATGGTTTACATGCTGCTGCAGCAGTTGCCGTGCAAGGAGAGGGTTTTTCACATGGTGATTTTCAGTTTTCTGTCTTATTCCTATTGGAAATTTATGTGAATGTTTCAGAAATGATCCCATTCTTTTTTTGGTTGTTTGTTCCATGTCATGGGTGATGTAGATGGACGAACTGAAGGAGTGCAGGTACCTGCTGCCGATGGCCTGCAAGGTGCATCAACAGATGGAGGTTAGTTCCATTCATCATATGCTTGTGTTCAGATTTCTGCATATTGTCGGATCAACTACCTGTGTTTTTTTTGGCTGTTTGTTCCTCCTACTGTGAATGATGGAGGAACAGAAGGAGTGCAAGCAGATGCTGCCAATGGCCAGCAAGGTGTGTCAACACATGGAGGTATGCCTTTGTTTAGATTCAGAGTAGACAGTTAAATCCATTGTCGGACGATGAATAGTATGCACGTTAGTCAGGTTTAGAGTAGACAGTTATGTCCAGTTTTAGTTAAGAATTTTCAGTGATTTGTTGGTTGGATCAGGTTCAGTTTTCTTAGTCAGGATCAAGATCAGTTTAGTCTAGTTTTAGTTAAAAATTTTAAGTGATTTGATGGTTGGAGTAGTTTTCTTTGTTGTCGGATAGATGTCAGGTTCAGTTTTTCAGTTTTCTTCAGACTATTGTCGGGTTCAGGTTCAGTTTCAGTTTTCTCCACTAAACACAGTACATGCTTCTGGTTTACAGGTTCCAATAATAACAAACGGAGGTTCTACTCGGACGACTTAAAGATCGCCATATATCTAGAGCTTTTGGCAAAAACTGATCCTCCTATTCTACGCCGCGGGGTTTCAAAGGGAGTTGCACGAGAATTTGATGTGCCTCTAAGAGTTGTGCAGTCCATTTGGAAAAATGGACAAACTGGTGGAATAAATGGTGTTGTGAACAAATAGTCTAAGAATTGTGGTAGGAAAAGAATTGTGGAGAAATGCACGTACCAAGACCATCACGTAATTCAGGATGCCCATTCTCTTCGTTCGGCCTCATGCCTGATCTAGTGCCTCTCTATTTTCCATGTCTCGCGTCATCTGTCCTTTTAGGCAGAGACGTCCATCTGTAGCTCATATCAGCAAAGGAAATTGTTTATGTTTTCATGTCCGATTTCTTAACGGTCATCATTCTTGGAGACCCTGCAGAAATTGGCCTTCTCCAAATATATACTGTGCTAATTTGTCATTTTACTTGATGGATTAACATCTTATGTGTTGTAATTTGTTTTTGTAGAAATCTACTTACCATGGTTTATGTTTTCTGTCTAATTTCTCGACAGTCATCATTCTTGGATACTTCATGGAAATTTGCTTCCTCCAATCAGGTTCTCCAAATACATACTGTGCTAATTTGTCATTTTACTTGATGGATTAACATCTTGTGCGTTGTAATTTTTTTGTAGAAATCTACTCACCATGGTTTATGTTTTCTGTCTAATTTCTCGACGGACATCGTACTGGATACTTCATGGAAATTTGCCTCCTCCTATCAGGTTCTCTAAATTCATGTTGTGTTAATTTGTCATTTTACTTGATGGATTAACAACTTATATGTTGTAATTTTCTTTGTAGAAATCTACTCACCACCCACCATGCTCATTGCCCAATCTGATTTTTTACTGTCGCAAGAACCTCCAAATGACTAAGGCCCTGTTTGGATGCAAAGTTTTTTTTTTTTGGAGTTTTAGATTAATACCGTGGTTTCATTATTTAAATAATAGAGAAGGATGCTGTTATATTTGTACGCTTCCACGCAGCCAGACCATTTGAAATTGCCGGCAACAATACTACAACAATCAAACACATCACACGTCATGGTTTTTTTTTTTCTAAAACTGAGAAAAACTCTATTTTCTAAATACTATGGTATTACATGGCTGTTGTCTTCAAAACTGTGGTTTCTAGATACTGCAGTTTCAGAATACTGCAACATTCAAACGGGCCCTAAGCCCTCTCTTCCATCCTCTAACGCATCAGCTTTTCCTGCAAGTACATATTGGTCTGTTGACTATGGGACGTGATCACCATAATGTAGCACGAAATTAACCTATGTTCTAAGATCACCAGGACATATTTTTCCTATTCAAGCCTGTAATTTTCGGATTTGCAACAAGCAAATCTGGTTAAATGGCTCCCCTATGCTTCTTGTATTTTTTTTTTCAGTTTTAGTTTCACTATTTTAAGAACTAGAAAATTATAAGGGTGAAAGAACTGACACATCAAATGATGCTGATAGCGTCAGATAATAACTACCTGGAAGAACAGATGTTGCATCAGAAAATATAAATGCTGGGTCAAAGGGGCAATCATAATTCACCTGACAAAACAAAAACTGCCGCAAAAGGGTCCAGGTTACATCAGCAACTTTGTGGATGGTATGGCTCAAGTACAAAATCTGTAGACAGAAGTTCCGTGGCAGCTGAATGAACATACATGAGACAGTTGAAATGTCAAATAGATACCATCCCTATAGCAATAACATAATAATGCCCCAATATGACTGCAAGCTACTCAAGTGCCTCCACGTCCAGTTTCACCACCAGAGCTCAAGATTTGTTATCCAGGTATGGACAGTGTGCTTCTTCCATTGTGGGTCCCTTTGGTTTGGCTTTTGGGAGCAGCTTTTGCTTCCCAGAAGCCAAAAGCCAACCAAAGGCCCTGTAGCTCTCCAACAAAGTTTTCTACAACTATATAACTGATCTGACAAGATTGACATTAAAATGTCAATTCAAGGTTACAACAGCAGCTTTGCAGATAGTATACATGAGGTAACTGAAATGTCAATGGACAGATATCATGCATTCAGCACTGGAATATCATGCCTGTAAGAATGAAAGCTACATACAGCCAGACTTAGTGTCTAGGTGTTCGCAGGGCACCTCTTCAGTTTTGATCAGTCAGATGCAAAAATTATAGCTGATAAAACTATGAGTGGATAAGGTTTCTGTCAATCAAAATACAAGAGCTTCCACAATTAAGTTAGATGTACTACTACCATGCAGCACTAGCTGTACGCAAAAGTAATCATAACTCCTTTTTCTCCTGAAATCTGTAACTTCCAGATTTCTAAGGTTTTTGACTAAGGTGTGGTCTGATTAAAAGGCTAAACAACGCTTCCAGTAATTTTCTCATTTTTTGTTAAATATTTCAAAACTCCAGAGATGTTATAGACTTATAGGTGAAAGGACGTAAAATGAGCTGACACTATAGAAAAACAGTTAAGAACGTCAGAATAATTGCAACCTGGACTGATTACATGTTGCATAACTAAATATAAGTGCTGGGTCACAGAGGCAAGAATCATGCCACATTATTAAACGAAGGCTGAAGCAAAAAGATCAATGCTATATCAAAATCTGTGCAGATAGTAAGCTTCAACTGCTAATCCCTTGACAGACATTGTGCGAAGAGTTACTTTCCTAGCATTAGTGTCTTGGTGACTGGCTAGATAGCTTCTTGTAATCTTTTTCTCTCTGTGTTTTTTTTTCTTTTGGACTGGCTGTTTTTTTCTTTTTTATCAATTTATATATCCAGTAGGGGCTCCCTGTTTCCTCAAAAAAGAAAAAACTTTGACAGAAGGTAGCTGAACAAAAATACAGGAGCTAAACCGAAATTTCAATAATTGATGTCACACGTCCAGCAATGGCATATTATGACTAGTTACAACTGCAAGCTACTCACAAGGTCCCTCCATGCCTCCATGGTTAGTTCCACCGCCAGAGTACAAGGTTTATTATCCAGGTGTGCACAAGGTACCTCTTCCACCCCATAGTTCTGTAAAAAAATATTATATGGGACCTTCTGCTTATAGGTCAATTATACTTGGAAAGAAAAATATAATTTAGAATCATGTGAGTTGAAAACAAAGCTTCTGCCAATAAAAATAGAAGAGCTCCTACAAGTTAAATGTCTTCATATCCCAAGTCCCAACACCTATATAACGCTCATGCTATCATGCAATACATTATACATAGCAATATTACACAAAAGAATCTTTACCAGAGAATCCTATTTCTCCTCTAGCCTGAGAAAGATGGCAAAGAAAGTATTTTCAGACATTCACTGGTGTATGTGGCATTGCACTCAAAAGAATAAAGTTCTGCACATAACTGGATTGTGCCCAGATAACACATACTAGCAGAGGGATAACCGAATGAAGTTATTAGACTTGGAACTAAATGATCTCATTAGACGACCAAATCAGTAAAGAACACATAGATATACAGGCCAATAGCAAATTACTAAAAACTAAAAAGCATTGACAACACAAGGAAGGTTCTACAGGTTACAAAAGAGAGATTGTGATCACACCACCCAAGAGAATTTGAAAAAGAAAAAGAAAGAAATAAAAGAAAATCACAAATGAAAATAATCAGAAATTCAGAACACAGGGTTGCATACCAGATATAGGAAACAAAGCAGTATACTATTCTGCAAAAACAAAGTATGCAGAGCTTTATATAGCTAAATTGTGTGAGTCATTAAAACTTATAAAATGCAATAAGAAAAACATCATAGTATCATAACACAAAGCAGTAATATTGATACTTAATATTCCTTCTGCCAAATCTTTCCCATCCCCATCTGGTCATCCTAAATTCCTAATCCATAGAATGATGTCTAAATCCAACTGAGAGTACTACAAATTGATGCTATACAAACAGAATGGTCAAAAACCTCAATGAAAGCATAATTCTGTAGTCTAGTCAATTATGCTAAGCTCTGGTTGCCATTTGTTTACAAAAACTCGGCTGGACCAAGGCGGTGGATAACTTGTGCAATGTATGATATTATATGATGATCACCAATGTGTCAAATGTGTCCCTTGGCACAACTTTCTTACTTTGCTAAACAGTAAATACAGGGCATAACATGAGTTCCCATTCTCTGAATCAATCAACACCTTGACACAACAGTTGCTTTAGGCCTTATATGTGGAGTAGCCGTCTGCGTTTGCTTGATGTACAATCAGTAAAAGGAAAAACATGGAATGTAAACGAGTTCTTCTAATTATTCTTTTTCATCAAATAGGAGTGCTCTGCTGCTACCTCTGGGTCACCAATTAACCACATACATGTGTCCAACAAATTCTTCAATAAATTTTGAGTACATTAAGGAGAATAGAAAATATGATTAGGAACTGGAGTATGGGCCTTTATAAAAAAACTTTCAAATGAATGTACAGTTAGTTTATTCAGCATTTTGGATATAGAAATGGCATTTAAGAAAATAGTCAAGAGATTATCTGAATCGCCCTTTTGTTTGAACAGAACCTTTACCGAACTTTCAGTAACACTTTTTTTTCTTGAACACAAACTTTCAGTAACACACTACATAGCAAATGGAGTAATTCTTTTTGCCAGACCATGTATTGATTGTACTGTTTATACCCTGTTTGGAATAGAGACAATAATAACCTAGTTACAAGCACAAAAGTGCTAGATGATGTCTCAGTATTGCACATACATCAATTTCAATTATGTTCTGACAAATGTGGTTAGTTATGAAATTATCAGTATGATCAGTAGTTAGTGAGGAGCTGAAGATAATCAACAAACAGGAAACTGCACAGATCCTTATTGTGTCAATCTCAGATTCATTTTCCTGTTTGATAATTGTGCCAAATAAAAGAAAAAATAAAATTTCACAAACTTGGATAAGTACCCCTCCTAAATGATTCCACCATAAAACACTGCCTAATTTTTCACAGATCTAATTCCCTGAAAATAGTTGGGTCCCAACATGGATCCCCTGGTTGTATAGAGGACTGAAGAAAAAAAATCCATAATCCACATGATGAACTCACCAAAGGGAACATTTTATTTTACTTTACCTTTTCTGTAATGTCCTCTGACAAACCATATATGCATGTATAATCTTTGTATAGTCTATCTACTACACGAAGAGCAAAACACAGCACATGATGCATATAACAACAACAATACGGACACAATATACAGTAATACAGTATCTAGCCAACAACCACGCTATTCAGCTAGGAGCTGGTGCATACCGCCATACACATACGCGGATCCACCGGCGGCAACGAGGCAGCTTCCCCGACCACCACCGCGGCGAAGACGGCGGCAACGGCCCTGACCCCCTTCCACTGTGCGGCCATGACAGGGCCGGCGCCGGGCAGCAGCCGGAGCATGAAGAAGGACCCGAAGAGGAGGACGGATGCGCAGAACGCGGCGAAGCAGACGAGGGTGGCCACAACGGCGCGCCACGGCATGCGGAGGTCGGCGGCCGCTGCCGCGAACGGCTCGATGAACGGGACACGGACATGAGCGCGGCGACGACGAGGGTGAAACACGCGGGGTGGGGAGAGCGCACGGCGACAGCGGCGGCGGTTGGCTCCTGTGGTGCAGCGATTGGGGGCGGAGTGGTGGTGGTGGAGGGTGGTGGCTGTGGTGCCGCGGTTGGGGGAGGGAAGGCGGCGCGGTCGGATGGGCTTCCATGGACTCGTTCTCCGATCAGTCGCCATTGACTAGACTCGGCAGACTTAAACAGACTTCCAGCAACAACATACACATACAGAAGAAAGCTTGATCCTGGGGTAGTGGGGTGTCATCACCATCTGTTTGCTGTTTCCCTCCAAGGCTTGTCGAGGGCAAACCATCAGGAGGGACCAGTTACGATAACTTTTCTGATCTTGTTGCCAAGCCCCCGAAGCTTCTCCCAGCAGCTCTTGGACTTCTCCAGATGTCATAAACTGAGCACAGTTTCAGGTTTACTGTCCAGGAGTGAGCAGATTACTTCTTGGCAAGAAAATAACCTGCTGTTGTTTTGGCACCTATAAAATGCTCTTTCAGGAAACCTATATCATGCAACAGTAGCAACCATACAAAATAGTAATCAGAACCCGTGTTTCTCCTCAAACCAGTAGCTCATGTATTTGCATGTTTTTTTTTTGGCTCAAAGACATTTTATACAAGCAAATGGTCTGGTCAAAAGGCTGTACAAAGTTGCTTGTGTTTTGTTCCTTTTTTGGTCCAATATCTGGAGATCTGGAAAATACTATAGGTAAAATGATGTAAATTGAATTGACATTATGAGAAGATGTTGATAACAATAGCAAACTAGACTAGACACATGTTCCATCAGTAAATAAGAATGCTAGTCACCAGCTATATAACGCTCATGCAGTCATGCAAAAGATAGCAATCATACACACATCCTTACCAGAATCCTGTTTCTCCTCTAACCTGCAACCTTTTGGAGGAATCTGGGGAAGAAAAAATATGAAGGTTCAGAAAGAGTCACTCGTGCACGGGCAACATGATAAACGGCATAAATTTCCACCAGAACTGAAAATTTATCCAAAAACAGCAAATGCTAGCAGAGAGACTAGAGACATGGAAGAACGAGATTAAACTTGGAGCTTACCCGCCCGATCTGGCCCGGCCGCCTCCACCGCCGCCAGAGCCCCTAACCGTCCTCCAACCATCCCCAGGCCGGCCTTCGCCCCGCCGCCCCCCTGCACACACACACACACGAACCTTTCCTTCTAAGCCCGCCGGAGTTGGGGGAGATGAGAGGGAGAGCTCGCTGAACCACAGCTCGAAGATCCAGGAGGAAGAGGAGGAGGAGGAGGCCTACCTCGCCGGATCTGCCATGGCCGCCGCCGGATCCGCCATGACCGGCGCGGGTGGGGCCGCGGGGAGGCGGTGGGGCGCGGGCGCGGGGAGGAGGTCGCCGGGGAGCAGGATGCAAGTTACACAGAGTGCCATGATGTGTTTTTGAGAGTTCCAAGGCAAAAAAAATCCTAGCCCTATTACTGCATTGCAAAAAGACCAACTTTAAGGCGGAGGAATCGAAAACAAACGAATGTATAAAAGCACAGGAAAAGGATAGAAATGATATTGTAAAACAGAGGAATTGAAAATATAGGAAGAAGATAAAAAGTATTTGGAACTCAGGAATCATGACACATGAATAAAAACATGAGTGGTAAACTAAAATTAGCATCTCTAATAATAGTGGATTAACTTGCTTGTATTTTATAATTAACTTGTGGCATTTAGGGTCGCTTGTCTAAATTCTGAATGAATCTGGATGAATTGGAGGAATATTGGAGAAATTTGTGAGAGAAAAATACTGTTTCGGATAAAAACATAAACGAATTAAACTGAATTTAAGGGCACACAAACATAGCCTTAATAGCGTGCAACTATTACATATGTGCGCCCTATCCGTGTGCATTAACCCTCTCTGTCCATCCACCGTACATATGCAGCTCATCCATTCGTCAAAATTCCACCGACTAGGCTGTATAGGCCCCGTTCGCCCTACTAGAAGCCGACTTATTTGGCTTCATTTTTTAGTCGAAATAATATTTTTTTTTACAACAATTCAGTCAGAGCAATATTTTTCAGCCAGTTTTAGTCAAGTTTTAGCAAGCCGAATAGTATAGTACTCCCTCCATCCCAAATTATAAGATGTTTGATTTTTTTTGACACTAAGTTTGATCACTCGTCTTATTCAAAAATTTGTGTAAAATATCATTTTTTTTGTCGTGGCTCGGTTTATTAATAAAAGTTTTTCAAAAATGACTCAAATTTGACTATGTCTACATAATTTTTTTTGAATAAGACGAGTAGTCAAACTTAAGATAAAAAAGTCAAACGTCTTATAATTTGGAATGGAGGAAGCAGTTAACAAGAGAGAGAGGCGTTGAACAGCCATAGGAAAGTTTCCAATGAGCTCAGACCTCATTTTCTGATTCATCCAAAAGTAGAAAAGTTTCCGGTGGTTTCCTTTGTTCTAAAGGATGAGAGAGAAGATAATTCATCTGAAATGAGTTTCCTGGACGTTTCCTGCGCTTTTCCTTGGATCCAGAGGCCTTAGCGTTTTACATATTGCACAGGATTCTCTCACACGAGGACGAGGGCAAGAGCAAAATACTGCTCAGCACGCACATCAGTCACCATTGACTAGACTTGGCAGACTTCCAGTACAGAAGAAAGCTTGATCCTGGGGTGTCATCACCATCTGTTCGCTGTTTCCCTCCAAATAGGGATGAAAACAGACCGAATTTTTCTAGTTCCGAACTGTCCGTTCTTCTACATTTAACCCGTCTGTTTCCGTATTTTTAGAAAAATCCAGAAACGGTACGAAATGCAGAGCGGAAGTCTCTGGAATCCGGACAGAAATGGGGAAGATGTTTTTTCGCCCGTATTTTCAGAATTCCGTATTTTATCGAAAATTTCCGGATTGACCTGGCCAAAGCAAGGGAATCAATGGCCATTCCTAACCAGCTTCTTTCTTGCTTGACTCCATTAACTCAATTTCCAGTTTCTAAAAAAAGTTCCCAAGATAGGCGCATCGAGATCAAGATGCTGCCGATAGAGAGACAAGTTCTCGACTCCAAGTCTCACCTCTATCTCCGAGAGATCACTCAGCAGCATTATGGTTTACCTTCGCAGCAGCTATTCCTTCCATTTCTGAGCGGTCTAATAATGTCTTTGCTGGTTTCTCATAAGCGTATCGTCTCCCACCTAGCTCGATTCAGCTAAAGCCCACCTTCTTTTTAGACTGTAGGATTTCTATTTGTTTCTATTTGATCTGGTTCGATCCCTTTTGTTCTGGATTTCACCTGGATTTCAGCCTGGCCCATGAAACCTTGTATCTTGACATCTTGTCCCGAAGGCCCTAATACTGCAGCCCATCTAATGAAGCCCAACACTGCAGCCCAGCACAGGCACAGAAACAGCCGCACATTGCACAGGGAGTGGGGACAGGCACCAGTAGTACTACCTTCCATGTCGTGTATACGTTCGTACGTACAACTGGACGAGCTAGTTCAATAGTACTTTTTTTTTGTCACAGGGGGCAAGCGTAGATCACCTGACAAAATGAAGACCGCGCCAAAAGGATCTATGTTCCATCAATAGATTTGTCGACAGTAAGCTACACCGGCAATTGACAGAAGGAAATTACAGAAGCGCTGAACAAACATACAAAGAGATGATCGGAATGTCAAGGAAGAATTATCATGCGTTCAGAGGAGACAAAATAAACCTCAATGCAACTGCGAGCTAATCACAAGTTGCCGCCATATCCAGTTTCACCTCCAGAGTTCAAGTTTTGTTTTACAAAATAAAAAAAAAAAAAAAGGAAAAAGAAACCCGTGAATTGGAAAATGCTTCTCCGATAAAAACATAAGTGCTTCCACAAAGAGTTATTGCCTCATATATCCACATCTATATAGTATTCATGCTGTCATGCATTTGATGGCAATCATAGACAGGAATGTTGACAAAGCTCTACTCTAACCTGAATTCCAGCAACCTCTAGGAGGAAACTTGAAAAGGTATGGACGTTCAGAAACAGCCACTAATATGTGGTCAACATGACCTTCAAAAGGCATAAACTGCAATAAACTATGTTTTATCAAAGTTCACAAGATCAAATAGTCTCATTTGATGAAAAATTGCACCCTTATCAAGATCAAATAGTCTAGCAGAAAGTCCAGAGACATAACAGAATGAATCTAGACACTGAAAACTGCACCCTTATCAAGATCAAATAGTCTCATTTGATGAAAAATTCTGTAAAAGTGCATTGACATACAGGCCAGCGACAATTCAAAAGCAGACTTACTGACTTAGTACTACCAGGAAGATTTTGCAGGTTGCAAAAGATTTCTGATCACAACAATCATGGTAAATTGCATAAAAAGATGGAAATATTCCCAGTCTATCTAGGAAAAGGCAGCAGCCTTTTGGATTCCAGGTATATATGACTGCCAAATGTAGCAAATTATTATAAAGGGAAAATGTTCATGGCTTGTAGAACTAAATTGATGCAAATCATAACAAACCTGTAAATTATAATTGGAAAAAGATCTCCTGCCAAATCCTTTCCCCCTCTAGTCCTTCAGATTTAGAGAATGCCATCCTCAATGAACTGATGCTCATAACTGCTGTGCTGGATCAAAGAGAACGGATAACTTGTGCTGGATCTGGTCTCATTCATTTCAATATTATTGGCTTGATCAAAGGGAACCGATAATTTGTGCCATGCATGACACTAAAATGATTATTACAAACTGTCAAATCAGATCTTGATCAATTGCCCTTTTGCAGCATTTTCTTACTTTCGCTAAGCACACAGCAAGACAAACTCCCATGACAGCAGATGCTTTGAGCCTTAAAACATGGAAGTTTCACAGCATCCTATTGCATTAAAAAAAAACTTCATGGAATGTAAAGCAAAATTGTTATGAATCTTATTCTTCGAAAAGGAGTGTTCTGCTACTTCCGGTTTACCAGTTCACGCATAAAACATGTCAAATGAATTATTAAGAAAGTTTGAGTGCAGTAAGATTTTTTTTAGAATAAAAGGTATAATCAGCTCGTTCAGTGGAGCATGGACCTTAATAGAAATTATCAAGTGAATATACAGATCAATCATTTGACTTTCTGGGTAAAGAATGGCCTTCTGTCTTTTAAGTGTATATATCACATAACTCTTGTTTTTGTTTTAGGACTCTTTACTAATCAATTTTCAGTAGCATGTTTTGTATTTAATGAGGTAACTCGTTTTTGCCACTTAGGCCACATGTATTGTACTTGTACTACTATACACTGGTCCTAAGTGAGACATAAGATCTGGTCACAAGTACAAATCACAATCTTTGCCTCTGTATGGTGCAAGTATTCATTCCAGTTACATTTTCAGACATGCAGTCAGCTAGTAAAGATGCTCAATCAACTGGAAACAGGACTTATTCCCCTCAATTGTCAAAATGGCACTATAGAACACAAAGTCCCCTGTCTGCTACCTACATAATGCTGAAATTATGCACACAAGTCACTCCTTTGTTTGGTAAATTTGGCTTCATAACATATACAGTTATTGCAAGAAGTACCAGTCCCCTGTCTGCTACCTACATAATGCTGAAATTATGCACACAAGTCACTCCTTTGTTTGGTAAATTTGGCTTCATAACATATACAGTTATTGCAAGAAGTACCAGAACTATCACAATCTAGCATCAGGATATGAACACAGTGGAAACCCGACACAACAACAACAACTACTTACTAGTATAATGGTGCAGCTCCGACTTCAGCTAATAGAAGAACAAGTTGCAATCCATACGCACCCAATTCAACTGCGAGCTGCAATGGCTCCTGATGCACCACCACAGGCAAGGAGCATGAACGATACTATACCAGCGGCGGTGATGCAGGAAACGATAGCACCGGCTGACTTAGTCCGTGTCCACGGCTCCACAGTGGCGGCAGCAGGCGGTGGAGGTCCATCGATGATGAAGCAGTAGAGCGAGCCAATAGCAATATTGAATGAGATGGCGAGGGCCAGTGCGGCCCAAACGGAGGCGTCCTGAGGGAGATCGGGCGCGCCATCAGCCATGACGGTCTCCAAGGACGACGCCGCGGAGATGGCGAGCGCGAGGACGACGAACGGGAGCAGAGGGAGTCCACGCGAGCGCGGCAGCTGCTTGGGCTCGTCCTCGGCCCGATGGCTCGCCAGGGTCTTGTGAATGGAAAGGACCGCCAAGTAGAAGAACGCGACGCCGGCGAGTACGACGCATACGACGACGGCAGGGTCGATTTGGTACACGGCGGCGGCGGCGGCGAGCGATTTGGCGTGCAGCGCCGCTCCCATGGCGAGGCAGAGCCCGATGAAAGGGGCAAGTAGAGATTTCGACGCAGAGACAGCAGGCGCTGCTCTGGCTCCCACGGTTGGGCGGCGCAGCAGCCTTGGTCCCCCGGCAGCTCGCCCGCGTGCGACCAGGAAGTTGAGCGAGAAGATGGCCAGGTTGAAGAGCGCCGTGACGGAGAACACGACGCGACGAGACGATGACGAAGGCCGGACAGAGATGTTCGGCGGCGGCAGCGGCGAGCTGCTCCGCGTCCAGAAGCATGCCGGAGCCGATGCAGAGTGCGAGGAAGAGGATGGGGAGCCGAGATCTCGGTCCGGAGCCGACCGGCGCTTCTCCAGCAGCATCGGTTGGGGCGGTTAGGAGAACTCTCCGACCGGCTGCGCCTCCATCTCGATCGGGAACTCCTCCGACTGGCTGCGGCTGAAAGGAGGAGAGCACCCTGCTGGAGAGGAGCTTGGCGATTTCGAGGACGGCGAGAGATGGGGTGGGAGGGAAGGGGAGGGAAGGGGACTTAGGGTTTCGAGCGTGGGGCGTGGGGCGTGGGGGTTTTGGCCAGGCCGCTTAGGGGCCTGTCGTTGTAGGCCGGGCCGTACCGGGCTGGCACGTCGTGGCTGGGGTAAGGCCCAGGTGCGGCCTGCTACTCTGGGCTGGGCCAACCCGGGCTCGTTTGTTACTGGGCCAGGCTGTGCTCGTGCTGGGCCAAAAAAATGTGGGCTTCATGGCAGGCCGGCGTGCCGCGGGTTGTATGGCCATCTATTAGGTTCCACAGATCATCATTGGACAAGCTCAGATTGTCAGGTACGACGATGGGCTGCGATGCCCTGGCTTTTGGGTTTAAAGCAGTATCGCATGGAAATTAATTGCGACTTCTTTGGGGAAGCAACGATTATACTTTACTATTCTCAAAATAAATACTCATCTCGTATTTCGAAAAATTAAATACTAGTCTCAAATTTAATCATATATAATATATATAAATTATTAATATTTATAATACCAAACAAGTATGATTCGACTAATTATGTAATCTATCTATCTATATTCTAAATTCTATATCTCTTATAAAGCAAAACCCACAAAATTCTATCTTGCACCATAGTGTTCCACGTCATCACTTTGTTTCAGCCGTCTGATGTTAAACGACCACCTAGATCTTAGCTTCTTCAGTTTAGGAGTCATTGGCTGACCCTCTTCAGCTTCCACCGCTCAATGCCATCCCTCTATCAAGGCAATAGAGCACACACAAGTAGAATCACTGCATCGAGGAATTATCCTCGAGGCAATAGAGAACACACAAGTAAGCAACAGAAAACTGACTTCCACCAAGCCACCTCCTCTCCTTTTTAATAATCTGCAATTATTTTTTTAACAGAAATAATCTGTAATTATCATTGACAAATGCTTGACCATTCACCTCCTGCCTCTTTAAACCACCCCTTATATAATATATATGCACATACCAAGACCATCACGTAATTCAGGTTGTCCATTCTCTTCGTTCGGCCTCATGCCTGATCTAGTGCCTCTCTATTTTCCATGGCTCGCATCATCTGGCCGTTTAGGCAGAGACGTCGATCTGTAGCTCATATCAGCAAATAAAGGAAATTGTTTTTGTTTTTATGTCCGATTTCTCAACGGTCATCATTCTTGGAGACACTGCAGAAATTGGCCATCTCCAATCAGGTTCTCCAAATACATACTGTGCTAATTTGTCATTTTACTTTATGGATTAACATCTTATGTGTTGTAATGTTTTTTTGTAGAAATCTACTCAACATGGTTTATGTTTTCTGTCTAGTTTCTCGACAGTCATCATTCTTGGATACTTCATGGAAATTTGCCTCCTCCAATCAAGTTCTCCAAATTCATGTTGTGTTAATTTGTCATTTTGCTTGATGGATTAACAACGATGTTGGCCCAAGTAGATCTACTCACCACCCACCATGCACAGGGCCCAAACCTGAATTTTTACTGTATAAAACTCCAAATGTAGGTCCTATAGTTCATTCTCTAATTATCAGCCTTCCCTACAAGTAAATATTGGTCTGTTGTCTGGACGTGATCGTGCCAAAAAGACCAACATCGGCATTCATTTTCTATTTTTTCTATTCCCCACGATTTGCAAGATCTTTAGTAAGGAGGTGAGGACTCACGCTGCATGCTTCATTTTTTTTTCAGTTTTACACACTATTTTGATCGTGAGAACTGACACATCAAATGATGCTGATAGCGTCAGATAATAACTACCAAGAACAGATGTTGCATCAGAAAATAGAAATGCTGGTTCAAAGGGTCACCTGACCAAAAACTGCGCAAAAGTGTCCAGGTTACATCAGCAACTTTGAGATGGTAAGGCTCAGTACAAAATCTGTAGACAGAAGGAAGTTCCGTGGCAGCTGATGCAAGTGCTCCACGTCCAGTTTCACCACCAGAGCTCAAGACATCTTGATTCTTAGCACATTACAAAGTTTTCTGCAGATCTTTCGATTGATTGTTTAGGTCCAAGGATATCACTTTTTCTTTTATTTTAATCCAAATTAATTATTTGTATAGTATCAGGAGTGCTATATGTAGTTTTGTACCCATATAGTCATATTTTTCTTCTAATTTAGGTGTTATAATTTTAGAATGTTACCTACTGTTAAACATTTGTAATGGGTGAGAAAAATGCAAACTGAAATATCTTGCTATTTTAATCTACATTATTCTCGATAATTATCATACATCTACAAATATATTGCTTAATCTATATTGTTCCTCGATAATTATCGGACGAGATGTTAAATTAAAAATATATTATTGAATTTGCTCCTTCGAATTTTGCAAGAACAAAATTAGTGCAATATATATTATAAGATTTTATAACATGATTTAGTAGAGGTTGATTGTTGGTCTAGATCGACTGGAGGGCCCTTAAATTCATAGGACCGGCACTGTCAACAGTCATCATTCTTGGATACTTCATGGAAATTTGCCTCCTCCAATCAAGTTCTCCAAATTCATGTTGTGTTAATTTGTCATTTTGCTTGATGGATTAACAACTTATATGTTGTAATTTTCTTTGTAGAAATCTACTCACCACCCACCATGCACATTGCCCAATGCTGAATTTTTACTGTCGCAAGAACCTCCAAATGACTAGGTAGCCCTCTCTTCCATTCTCTAACATATCAGCCTTTCCTACAAGTACATATTGGTCTGTTGTACTGGACGTGATCGCCATAATGTAGCACGAAATTAACCTATGTTCTATAATCACCAGGACATATTTTTCCTATTCAAGCCTGTAATTTTCGGATTTGCAAGATCTTTAGTTAAAGATGTTTGTTGTATACAAGCAAATCTAGTTAAATGGCTCCCCTATGCTTCTTGTATTTTTTTTTCAGTTTTAGGTTCACTATTTTAAGAACTAGAAAATTATAAGGGTGAAAGAACTGACACATCAAATGATGCTGATAGCGTCAGATAATAACTACCTGGAAGAACAGATGTTGCATCAGAAAATAGAAATGCTGGTTCAAAGGGGCAATCATAATTCACCTGACAAAACAAAAACTGCCGCAAAAGTGTCCAGGTTACATCAGCAACTTTGTGGATGGTAAGGCTCAAGTACAAAATCTGTAGACAGAAGGAAGTTCCGTGGCAGCTGAATGAACATACAGGAAGGTGCCTCCACGTCCAGTTTCACCACCAGAGCTACTCAAGGTGCCCCAATATGACTGCAAGCTACTCAAGGTGCCTCCATGTCCAGTTTCACCACCAGAGCTCAAGACTTGTTATCCAGGTATGGACAGTGTGCCTCTTCCACGGCACAGCTCTCCAACAAAGTTTTCTGCAGGTCTTTCTATTTTGATTAAACATATTTGCAAAAGGATATCACTCAGAAACCTGTGAACAGAAAAGCTTTCCAATGAAATTAGAAGATCTTCCACAAGCTACTCAGGAAGTGCTACCATGTCACAGTTCCACTTCCACCACCAAAATCAAGGTTTGCAACTTTGCATCCAAATATGCCCAGGGATGCTGGATCACAGGAGGCAAACAACTATATAACTGATCTGACAAGATTGACATTAAAAGGTCAATACAAGGTTACAACAGCAGCTTTGCAGATAGTATAGATGAGGTAACTGAAATGTCAATGGACAGATATCATGCATTCAGCACTGAAATATCATGCCTATAAGAATGAAAGCTACATACAGCCAGACTTTAGTGTCAAGGTGTGATGTGACACTTTAGTGGCCCAACCTTTCGGTGGGATGAGATGCCTTCCAATTGTGAGGGTGACTCACACCATCCAGGCTACTGATCAAGATGTTCCAATAGCCTAGCAACCGTTGAACCAATTCTTGAGATGTTATCAGCCTAGCCAAAACCAAGCTGACCTGACCACTAGGGTCTGTTCCTTCAAGGAATGGAAGAAAATCAGCAAGAACAAAGTACAAGCAATCTGAAATTGTAAGTATGTAGTGAAATATTAAGATGAGGCTTTGAGTAGAGGTTGGTCTGTTGGTCTAACCGACACAGGAGACAACACAAGCAGTAATTTTTAAAGGAACTGAACTGAACTAAAACAAAACCCAACTCTTACATATGGAGGTACCCTCCTTTTATAGCCAAAATGGCTGCTGCTACAGTGCATGCTACTATAATATACTGGCGACAGCTAAGTCTATTACTACTGTTAATATGGAGGCTGTTCCATGAATCTGGACAGCTAACAAATAACAAACAAATAGTTTAGCCTACTGTACTCTAGCTGGCTGTAAGTGGTGACTGCACTGTGGACAGCCACAAATACAGCACAAAATATTAGCTCAAATATCTTTGTCTTCAACTCCAAGGTTCCTGATTAGGAGCACATTTCGATCTTTTCTTGTGTAAAATTTGTGAATTGTTGACCTAACTTCAGGTGGTGGAATGGATGGTACTATAGCTGTTGGTGGTGTGGTTGTATATGTAGAAGTGACGTCCTCATCATCCTCCCCTTGTCGGAATGGAGTCGTCCTCGACTCAAGTTCATCTTCTTTTCCCATGTACGGCTTCAAATCTGAAACATTAAAGGTGGGACTAGCCCCTAAATCTGTAGACAGATCTAGTTTATAAGCATTATCATTTATCCTCTCTAGTATACGAAAATGACCATCAGCTCTATGTATTAACTTTAATTTTCTTAAGTTTGGGAACCTATCTTTTCGCAAATGTAGCTAAACTAGATCTCCAGGTTCAAATGTGATTTCCTTTCTACCTTGACTACCTGTAATTTTATACTTTTCATTCATGTTTTCTATGTTTGCTTTAGTAATTTCATGCATTTTCAAGATCAACTCAGCATGTTCTT